GCTTGATTAATTGCAACTTATGATATTGCATGATATTTAATTCAGTATAAAAACCTAAAACTTATATGTTAGAGATATTAACTTGGTATGGACTTATCACTATAGTGCATGTATTTTTTTGGACACCTGAAAACTTTTTTAATGCCATTAATATACTGCACAGATTTGTGTATTGGCTGGCTGCATCTATTTATTAGTAAATAAAAATATTGCACACTGTTTCCAAGCAGCATATCTGTTTTGTGTCAAGATTTTTTTTTTATATTTGGTGTAAAACATGCCAACACTTGCAAAGTGTAAATTTACACTTGTCCTGGTATATCATTACACCTAGACCGCGTTAAAATACACTGAGCTGCAGTGAAGTAGAAACTAATGTATTAACTATTATTGCAGTGTAAATTTACCCTTTACAAGTGTAAATTTAACCAATTTTTGTGTATGGAATCACACCAAGACAGTGTAAATATGCACCGGTGTGGTGTAAAAAATATGAATGCTTATTTAGTGTAAATCTATACTGAACCTGGTGTATATTTACACGAAGACCATTTTAAGAAACACTGATCTGGTGTAAAGTAGAAGCCAAAGTATTAACACCTATTATGTGTAAATTTACCCGCAAACGGTGTAAATTTACCCAATTCTTGGGTATGAGATAACACCATGATAGTGTGAATATACACCGGTATGGTGTAAAAATTATAAATGCTTATTCAGTGCAAATCTACACTGAACATGGTGTATAATTACACAAAGACCATTTTAAGATACACTGATCTGTTGTAAAGTAGAAACTGAAATATTAACATTTATTATGCTGTAAACTTCAAATAGTGCATGTAAACGTTTGTATACGGACCAAATATTATACTGACCAACCTGCCCTTCACATTAGGGCTTTTTGAAAAGTCGGTCTAAAGTAAAAAATATTTCATTAAACGACTACCTTTAAACAGTGTAAACTGTTGGCATTTTCTGCCTTTTGTAAGTTGTGTATCTTACTTGGTGTGTTGTTGTACCAATTCAATGGCATGCATTAAATTGTATAAACTATCACTGATCTGGCGTATTTCATTCATAGATGATCTCATTTACTTATAGTGTTATTATTAATATTCAAAGTAGACTCCATTGAAGTGCTTTTATTATATTCATATCTTACAACAAGCCATAATAATGAATAAAAATATAAGTCAGTGATGAAATGTCAGTGATTAAACGAAAGTGTGCAGTGATAAACAGTAAAAATATGCAGTAAAAAATCTGTGCAGTGACAGGGACGCCGGAGCCACGAGGGCAGCTGCCTCGGCGTTGCCTAAACAGTGCGGGGTCAGCACGGGGTCAGCAGGTTGCCTTTTTACCTGTCGTGTCGTTTTGGAGAATGGATTTTAGTGTGTTTATTGTAGTGTATAATTAGGTGTGCATAATAGCATAAAGCTATAAATTGTGCAATAATCGGACAGGATTTATACAAGACATTTACGCGTGTAGCGAAGACGTGTTTTCACACAAATTAAAAGTGGTTTTACTTGTAAATTATACGGAAACATGTGTCAGTTTTAAATTAAGTAAGCTGCTAAATAAAGAACACGTAGAGGTATTCACATTGCCTTTAATCTGTGTTAATATGTGAAACCAAGTGAAGTGTACGGAATTAGTTTTTGTCGTCTGGACGTTTGTTGAAACATCGTCGCTGAAATCATGGCTGATGCAATGTCCCATGAAAGAATTACGAGTTTAAAGCGAGTAAAGGCAGGACATGGCGGGGAAATAACGAAGATTACGGGCTTTTTGGATGCGTTGTTACGAGATAAGCGTAATTAGAAAGAAGTACAAGTATACAAAGAACGCTTGGTTGAACAGTGGGGGCGTTATTGGCGGGTCTTTGATGAATTAATACAGCTTCTCCCGCATGAAAGCGATGACTATACTAAAGAAAATGACGATCACATTAGACGGTGTCAGGTTTATCAATTATATATGGCTGAAATAGAACAGTTTCTTAGCCGAAACGACGAGGAGAAGCGGACTGAGGACGGATATGCAACGAAGTTGACCGAACGTTCGAAAGCAGTCGATACAGTGATGAGATCTACGAGAGTTCAAGACGAAGAACGAAGCGAGTCTTCACAGTCTTCGACAAGAACAAGTTTAAGTTCGAAAAGTTGTAAAGGAGCGAAGCTCGAAAAAATTTTGGCTGAAAAGAAATTAGAACTGTTGAAAAACGCGAAGGACAAAAAACTAAGAGAACAATGCTTGAAACTTGACAATGAAATTGCTGAAGCCGAGGACGAAGCGGCCCTTGCCCGAACAAAGGAACAGCTGTTTGAGCAGTTTGAAGAGACTCTCTTGGATGACCTGGACCAGAAATCTAAAGTTGATAAGTCGCCGCCGATAGTCGAAAGAGTTCTCGACCTAACAAGAAACGTGAAGACTTCAACTGAAATAAAACCTCATCTACCGAGTACTGATGGATTTCGAGACCCACCAACAGCTCCAAGCAGTCTGCGTAACCCATTTACAGAACGAAAGCCATTTACCAATACCATGTATGGACGAAAGGAGGAGAGACACCCAGTCACACCAGTAAGACTCAGGGAAAGCTTTCTACCTTATCATTATGACCTGTCCCCTTCGATTACCGTTAAGTGAAGTAGATCGTGAAACATTATTTCCACCACTAAGTGTTAACAGAAACCGAGAGAGACTGGAATCCAGAGTACACTTTGAACCTGAAACTCTCCCCAAAGACGGACTGTTCAATCTGGGCGTATTTTAACCAGAATTACAAGTAGTTTGAATTCGATTGTGACAAGAACAAATCTCCCTCCACTCGAAGTAGTAAAGTTTACTGGTGCATGATATTAGGATTTCGCGAGGGACTCGAAAACAACTATCACCTTCAATCATCTTTGCGTGAGGTGGTCCGCATATCACGTAAAACTGCTGTAAGTTGCTTTGAAGTTCAATCTCTTTAACGTAAAACTGCTGTAAGTTGCGTGAGGTGGTCCGCATATCACGTAAAACTGCTGTAAGTTGCTTTGAAGACCAATCTCTTTAACGCCCTGCATCTCTAAGGTTATGGAGGAATTTGTAGCAGAATGGATTCTTGAAGATATTGCACATAAAATCGATCATAAACAATTCGGCGTCATAAAAGGTACATGCACATCTACAACGTTGTGCCTCTTGGATATGTTTCACAATTGGCTGTTAAATTTGGATACGCCCGGCCAGTATTTACGAATTTGTTTTCTAGATTTTAGCAAGGCCTTCGACCGCATCAACCTTAACATTTTGGTTACCAAGTTGGTCTTTTTAGGAATAGGAAGATCATTATTGCCTTGGATATGTAGTTTTTTGTCATATCGCAAACAACGAGTTAAATTGGGTAAATCTTTGTCAGAGTGGGTCACAACGAACGCTGGTGTCCCACAAAGCACTAAATTGGGCCCTATTCTGTTTCTCGTCATGATTAACGATCTTGTCCTACCAACATGTAATTATTGGAAATATGTAGCTGGTTTTACTGCTTCGGAGGTTAAAGCCAAGTACGGCAGTTCAACAATCGAATCAGATCTTGATTATATATATGAAATACTTCGCCGAAATAGAAACCGACATGGTGGAGGTGTTTGTTTCTATATTAGAACCACTATTAATTTTTCAATACGTGAGGATTTAAAGTTTAAAAATTTGGAAAATTTATGTGTTGAAATTCGAAATTTGTTGTTCTCAACTGGTATAGACCACCCAATTCTCCCGTTGAGTTGTTTACTTCTTTTGAGTCCCTTATCGGACGACTTGATGCAGAAAATATCGAATTTTATTTAATGAGTGATTTTAACTGTAATTTAGCTAACGATAGTACTCAGTATGAGAACAATACCCATCTGCTGTCGAGCATTACCGATACATATGGTCTTCAGCAGTTAATCAATGAGCATACCCGTATTACGAAAACAATTTCCACCTTGATCGATCTAATTTACACTAACGATCCAGAAAGGGTAGTTTGTTCAGGAGTTTCGCATTGCAGTATAAGTGACCATAGCCTAATCTATGTCTACCGCAAATTATCTTTAAATACTGTATCTACTAAAGGAAAAAACTACATTTCTTATTCATGTCTACATTTGGAAAACAAGTCAGAGCGTTTGTTCAGGCATTCAGTTTTCTTCGCTTTCATAATAAGTAGTTTCTCCTCGAGGCATAAATTACACCGTTTAGATCCTGGTTTGTATGCTTTGACTTTCTTCATAATGGACCAATTTATTGTATACTAACTTTTTTCTGACTTCAGTTTCCAGACGTACTTGGACAGTTCGGTGTTGCTCTTGTATTCCTCATGTCGGAAAGACTTAGTGTGATTGCGGTATCTTGTTTTGAAATTGCCCGCCGTCATGCCAATATATATTTTCTTTTCCTGGTTGTTGGCGCGCAGTGCTGGTTGTCACTTCGTCTTTGTATACGATGCTCTCAGTAAGACATTTTTTACCAAGTGGACAGTTGGCGGGTTTTTGGCAGTTGCACATTGGCGTGTCGTTTTTTGTAGGTGTTGGTATTACCGTTGGTATGGATGATTGTATTGCCCTACCAGTTGGCGTTCGTTTTGTGTTTCGGTTGAGTATTTTACGATTATGTTTACGGATGAGATTTTTCATGTTTTTCATGCAACTGTAACTAACACGGACTGTGTGGCGGTTGAAAAGTTTGTGCAGTTTGTTTGAGGGAGGAAAATGCTTGTCAATTAGGTTTAGGAATGTCTGTGCTACATTAGTCTTAACGTTTTTGCTATAAGGGGGGTTGTACCATGTAATGTTTCGTTGTCTGTTTCGTTTATCAGAGTTATTAGTGTTGTTTTGAGTTTGTGTGTACGTTAGGTTAACGTCAAAGTTGGTTTGCTTGAGAGCGTTGTTGTAAAGTGGTGCTGCTGCGTTGAATGCTTCTTCGTCACATGATAGTTTGTTAATGCGTTTGTTGACTGAGTGTGGAAGTTGTCGTGTGATGGAAGGTGGATGGTTTGATAATCTGTTTATGTACAGTGGTTCGTCATTAGGTATAGTTTATATTTACCGTTTGATAGGTCAAGCGTCAGGTCAAGGAAGTTCACGCACTTGATGTTTGTTTGGGCGGTGATTCTGAGGCCAAAGCTCTCAAAAATGGTGATCAACTCTTTCGTCGATTTGTCCGCAAGTCTGCCTGACGTTGTTCTGAGGGCAGCCAAGCCGTCGTCACGGTGTAGGCCTACGTCTTTCCCAAAGCGTTTCTCGACTGTGTTCAGAATGAAAAGTCCGACGAGTTCACAGACCTCAGCGCCATCGAAACTTCCCATGGTCACGTCAAACGTGGTGGTGTTGTTCTTCTTCGTCCAAGCTTGTTGGTTGTAAAAAAGAAGGGATTTGCGCGCGTGCTTCACAATGCGGATATCGCTGTCGGAAATTGCGATGAATTGTTGGCTCCATGCGATTGCACGGTCAAGTAGACTTTCAGTTATGGACGGGTAAAATTCGACTATATGGAAAGATAGAAAAGACAGTCTGTCCCTGTTAGTTAGTGAGTCAACCAAGTGATTGTGTCCTCAGAGTTTCTCCACTGCTTTGCACAAGTTTGTCGGCGGATTTCAGCATTGATTGTGATCTTTTAGTGTAATAAACGCTGGCGGTTGGGTTGCTGGTTCCATGCGGTTTCCTATGACGTCATATTTCCGCCAAAATTCAAGTTTTCTATTTGTGATCCTAGTTTGTGTATTTTGTTCAATTCTTAATACAACATTCAACTTTTCACAATTGAACATTCAACTTTTCACACAATTGAACATTCAACTTTTTTACGCAGTTCAACATTCAACTTTTCACACAATTGAAAATTCAACTTTTCACACAATTCAACATTCAACTTTTTTACGCAGTTCAACATTCAACTTTTCACAATTGAACATTCAACTTTTCACACAATTCAACATTCAACTTTTTTACGCAATTCAACATTCAACTTTTCACAATTGAACATTCAACTTTTCACACAATTCAACATTCAACTTTTTTACCCAGTTCAACATTCAACTTTTCACAAAATTAAACATTCAACTTTTTAGGCAATTCAACATTCAACTTTTTAATACGCAATTCAACATTCAACTTTTTACGCAATCGAACATTCAACGTTTTTGAACATCCAACCGCAATCCAATTTTTAAACGACGTAACGCCGGCTCACATGTGGCTCAATCACGAGGTGTAAAATATGGCGGATTTAAGCGAAGTGAAAGAGACACTAGTCAAGTTAGCAAATAGAATTTCCGACTTGCAACAGTCAAGTGAGGCATCTAACAATTCAGGTAAGTGTAATATTGATTGTATTGGTTTATTAATATTCCTCTAAAAGTACTGTACTACACTTGAGTGACCTCTACTATTTTGTCAACATAAAATTTTAAATTTAGCTACATAAAATTTGCGGCGCTAGGGTAGAGTGTCGTTTGTATAATCGTATGTTTTTAGGATAAATTGATTCGAACAAAATAAAAAGCAGCGAATAAGTGAATGGAAGGTGTTTTTGTACACGTTTAATCCACAATTTGATCGAAATATATTAGAAAGTGTATACAGGTGAATATGATGCTTGTGATGTTACTCTGAGTGTATATCAACACCGGACAAGCTTGAAAAATATGCCTGACCACGGTGGGAATCGAACCTACGACCTTTGGAATACTAGCCCAATGCTCTGCCAACTGAGCTACGCGGTCTGGTCGGTTCGAGTATGTGATATTTCGGAACAGAATCTAGGTCCTTCGATATCAATGTTATCTAATAATAATCTCGAACCGACCAGACCGCGTAGCTCAGTTGGCAGAGCATTGGGCTAGTATTCCAAAGGTCGTAGGTTCGATTCCCACCGTGGTCAGGCATATTTTCAAGCTTGCCCGGTGTGGATATACACTCAGAGTAACATTACAAGCATCATATTCACCTGTATACACTTTATAATATATTTCGATCAAATTGTGGATTAAACGTGTACAAAAACACCTTCCATTCACTTATTCGCTGCTTTGTATTTTGTTCGAATCAATTTATTCTAAAAACATAAGATTATACAAACGACACTCTACCCTAGCGCCGCAAATTTTATGTAGCTACATTTAAAATTTTATGTTGACAAAATAGTAGAGGTCACTCAGGTGTAGTACAGTACTTTTAGAGGAATATTAATAAACCAATACAATCAACATTACACTTATCTGAATTGTTAGATGCCTCACTTGACTCAGAGGAGGTTGGACAGCTAATTAGCGAGTTGTTACGTGAGCTCTCGACCAATGAGATCGCTCTATTTTCCATCGTGTTATCTGCAGAATTTGGACATAAAAATTTGCATTCGACGGAAAATAAATCGGAAAAAAATATTAATATTAAAATTTTCTTGCAAAATCTCAAGTGTTGTAGTACTACTACTAAAGATCTGGTGATATCTGTAAAAATCTCTGAGGTAAACTTTATTTTCAATGTTATTTTGATGTTTGAAGTTAGACGACTCCCCGCGACGTGTTGACTCAAGTCTAAATATGTTTACAATGTTTAAAATGAAATATCTAGAATTCCCATGGTTCGATTTTCTTCATTTTTGGTAGTCGTCAAGACAAAAGT